GTACACACATTTAAGATTACCAGCAGTGCAGGTGCTGCCTCTCCTGTTGCTATAGCTATATTAGGCTATGTTCACACTGAAGCCTGAAGTGACCCAAATCTGATTTTGTTTTTTAACAATATACAACCTGTATTTGATTTTGATCTTTTCATGACAGTCTGAACACAGATTCTTTTTTTTTTTTTTTTTATGAGAGAGCCAAATCTATAGCCACTTGGATATATGGCCTGCCCTAACATACAAATATATACCATATATTTGGAAATGTGAAAAACCATGCAAAGCAATCGGATTTTACAAAAAAAAATCTGAACTAAACATTAATGTCTGCATTGTGAAAGTAGCCTTAGTGTTCCACTACCTATGTGATGTATGCACTGAATGATTGCTTGGTATGAATGTGTAACATACTGCTGAGTTTCAAAAAGAGGCTAAAATCCAAAGCCTTCTATAACATCTTTTGTAAACACATAAAACACAACCACAGTCTCTGTGCACAGAAGAACTCTTATTTTCTGAGACATTTCCCCAAAGCAACCATCTCATCAAGATGTGAGCTCTGTATAAGCAGACCCAATTCCTGGATACCAGGTGGGTAGGAGCAAATTACACACTTCGCTGCACAAGCCAGCCCATCCTTTCCAGGAGAAGTCCAAAATCATTTTTCTTTTCATTTCATTTCTACATACAAGAAGATACATAGACTCATTTCCTCTAAAGCTAATTACTCTTAAGTGCTTAATCATTTTAATTATTGGGAAACCTGGGATACACATGTAAAAGTCAGCCGTAGGCTGTACAGCTTGGTTTTGAGTTTAAACTGTGCTAGAAACTAAAAGTGTCATCGAATTTCACTCTGCAGACCTGCTTCCTGAGCTCTGACAGCTTGATTATTCCATAACAAAAGCGAAGGGGCTTTTAAAATCAAGTGAAGACGCTAGAGATGCAAACCACAGACCTTTGAATAAATAAACATTGAATGAAAAACAGTGCTCTTCGGAGAGAATCATTTATCCATATTTAACCATGACAAAAAAAAAAGAGAGAGTACTTCTTAAGTGTCCCTTTGTATACAGTGTCGTTTGCAGTTTCTAAAAATATTCTGGGAAATATTGCAAGGCCACAGGTTTTATGGAATGTAGTTTTTATTGAATTTTCATTTTTATCCTAAAACTCACTCCATACCACAAATTCAGGGGGAGTTAC